GTTGTAAACTTAATTACAATTCTAATTAAAGTTATAGAACTGCACATGTAATTAAAGTGAACTAATTAGATGTAAACTTTAATTAAAAATCATATTTGGATTTTTATCAAGACTTCTATTTGAAATTAAAATTATTATTGTACATGGATTGGAATATTTTTATTACTATAAATAGAGACTATATGAACATAGAAAATCTAGAACAATCATAATATATAATTTCATAGTATTCAAATTGAAGAGAAAAAAGAGAGAAATTTATTTTTCTTATTGTTCAGTCCAAGAAATTATTTTCTTAATTTAATTAAAGGAACGTGTCCACTCATCGGTATAGCCTCAATTTTGAAGAATACTATAGAAAACTTGGAGATTTGGAGTATCATGTTCTTGGAATTAAAAGCTGGAAGCTTATAATCCAAAAAACTTGAAGTTCGTGACTTCAGGAATCGATCATCAAATTTAAGTAAAAATTCGAATAATTTATTCTTGATATAACATACACGTGAACATCTAAACGATCTTATTTCTTGAATTAAAGAAATTTTTTAATTTTTGGATAATTCTGCTTCCACATTCCAACCGTAGCAATTCAAAATGTGCAAGATTTTTTTTCCCCCTATTTTTAAAGTCGGTATATGGACTCAGTCTTTAAATAAAAGTTAATTGATTCAGTAAAAAATCATTGAACTCTAAAAAGGCATTTACTTTAAACAAAATCTCTAAAAAAATCAAATTGATTATACCCCATTATGGTTTTTTTTTTGTTAGAATGAATGGTGTTTGTGGTGGATTATGGGCGAAAAATAAGGAATACGATAAGGAATTAACATTGGAAATGAAGTTATCTCCAGATTATAGCTGGAATTTCCCCCCTTCGAGTAAGAAATTATGTTTTGAAAGGGGAAGTGTAACGTGATTTTCTAATTCTGTCTTGGTTTAGCAGGTCCGGGCCTAATTATTCCAAGAAGAAACCACACATTTGGGCCAATTCTAATGGGCTGTATGTCATGGTGTCGGAATGACGGCCCAAAACTTTGATATAGGTGGTTATAATGCCACTTATTTTTCGTTATACTTATTCTTAATTAATTTAGCACACAAAAATCGGATGGGAGGGATTAAAATTGAAAATATAGCCGTTATTGTTGACTTTTATTAGACGAGTGAGACCCAATAACGACCATATTGTCAATTTTAATTGGCTTTTAATCCCTCCCGAACGGGGCCGTCTTTTTCAGGGTGCAAATTATGATTTCAAATAACACAAAACAGAAAAAAGTCGGCATACCATCTTTCCTATTCACACAAATTACGTCTTTTTCTTGGTAAGAAAGAGATTTGCGAGGAAAGAGTAATTTGAAAGCAACCCTGCAAACCTCCAAAATCAACGGAGCATCACGACGGAAGTCTTGTCAATTAACTTCCCGGCATGGGTGTTCCATTGGCCGCCACATACTGCCGGAACAGTTGACAATAACTAGTGCCTTTTGGTCCTGATTTCACATTTGCATCTCCAAATTTCATCTTTATACTTTTACTTTTCCACATTTGACTAATAGTTAGACTAGTTATCACTAATCTTGGACAATGTCAAGAATTGAACTCGATGGAGAGACTTGTTCACAGTATTTTCCACACGTTCAGACTTCAAATGTAACCCCAAAAGGACCATTTGCCCATGCCTTGTGGACCACAAACTATTGAAGAAGGATTTTGCTAGACAAACATAACGCTTGACATAGAGGATGACACAACACACATGGGGGGAGGTCAGCATTATTTAATTCAAGTTTGGACCCACATGTAACGTGAGAGGTCGGTCAACCCCTATGTCAAACATTATGTTCATTTAGCTTAATTCGTTGGAGAATATGTGATTAAAAAGTAGGAAAAAAATTATGGATTTACGTGTAAAATTGTTTTATTGAAAGAATATGTGGAAAAAATTGAGTTTCGAGAAAATAAGTTTTAAAGAATACATACCAAACAGGAGTTAAGTAAAAAGTAGACTTTTTGAGTAGGAATTGACCGTCGAGAAATATGTCTTCATTTCAAACTTAAACCTTTGACCCCTCCTAAAGATGATGGGATAATCCAATAATATATCACATCTCTTTTTGTTTTGACTTATCTCTTTCTACACATACTTATTTGACGACCAATATGTTACACGACATGTTTAGCATTAGTTGGATATTGCTATAATTTCTGAATTGTCATGAAATTCTATATGAATAACATCATTCACACACGGTGACTACGTGTACTATCGATGTTTATAAATGTCTCACGTTAACGAAGCATGATCGCCTAAACAACTCAATCGGATGATTTTTCATCTTTTTTTTTTTCTTCTTATTGGGACAAGATAAGTGTTTATAGAAAGTGAATGGAAACAAGTAGGTTTCACAAATACACACAGAGGATCATGGAAAGTACACACAGTGAAGGTGCTAAAAGTTCAATGATCCCTTGCATGTCCTCTTATGAAGAAGACAATAAACTTTGTAGAAAAAGAAAGGTCACAATGTGTGAACAGATATGAAGGAATTAGAAACATTGAACATGCCAATTCCCAATCAGTAATTCGTCCTTCCTAAAATAAATTTGTTTTAGTCCTGTTACCAAACATTGACAATAGCCTCGAAGCCAAAATTCATAATTAATGTAGTACTTGAAATTTCAAGTACTACATTAATAATTAATGTAGTACTTGAAATTTCAATTTTTTTTTACTGCAGTCCTTAATCTTTGATTTTTCGTGATATTAGTCCTCAATGTTTTAGTTTTTTCCTAAGCTTTAGTCTAACTCATTGAATTCCATTAAAGGATTGACAAGAGAGAACCGAGTAATAAATATAAGTTTAAATGAAAGAAAGAATGTCAAATGATTAGGAGGAAGTGATTCTAATAATTAAAAAAATATCGAATTGGAAATCGAGTGAAGGAATTAGGTTTCTTGGTCGTGGAGGCTTACGATTTAGCTTATGACAAGTCAATATATCTTAAATCGGATTATGGAGAAAAATAAGAATTGAATATAAAATCTTTTGTGGAGATATTCATTTTCTTAAAGAGACCAATAAGGTATCTCGACATAGTGGCGTTTTGATACCATCAAGACAAGAAAATCAAATTTCAATTTTCAAGTGATCCAAAAAAAAAAAAAAAAATTTGAAAAATCGAATGTGTTCAACGGATCACATATGACCCC